TATTGCCCTGGCTATTAGTTGTAGGGCAATTGCAATTCATAACTTCTGTCTTCTACCAAATTCCTGTTTGCTACTGTCCTGTGAATTCCCAATTCCTTGCTGCCTTTCCTTATTTAACTGGCTATTGGTTGAAATTACACGATAGGTTCTACTGTAGGGCCTGATCCAACATAATTCTGTTTTATGTAAATAAAGTGTTGACTAAGAATGATCAAATAAGTTCTTGATTCATCATGGTGTGCCTTGTGCAATGTTTATAATTAGTCATACTATGCAAATCAATTTAATTAAAATGTGACAGACTTGTTAATGTAAGTCTTGTATTTGATTGTTTTATTGGTGTATGTGTGTGGAAAGTGTGAATGATGAGACTCTTGACTAAGTTCTTGATGAGCTCCTCATGTTCATGTGCCTTTTTGTGCTGATGAATGAGTTTGGCTGAAACAGGGCAGGGCTTCCAGCATTCTAAATTTTTCCTATGCATGGAAATGCACATGCATGTAGATTTCTTTGACAGAAGGGGAAACAGTTAACACTTACCTTCTGTCTTACACTTCTGAGGAGCTCTTAACAGCCCTTGGTCCAGTGTGTGGCACTGTGCGTGTCAGAGGGACAGCAAACTGGGAAGAAGGTTTCCCTTCTTATTCTCTAACATTTTATATTTTTATTGATTAATTCAAGGGACATTTTTTTTCCTTCCAAGAAGGTGAAAAGAATAAATAATTTTTTATATCAGATATTTATATACTGAAGTAGTTTAAGAACAATTCAGTTACTGCAGTAAAAAATAATTGGCTGGTCCTTTATTATCGTGTATCTAAAAGCCAGGCCTTAGAGATATCTTTGAAGAGAAACTTAGAAACCTCTATAAAAACAAGGTTTTTATGTGTCATTTTTGGAAAACAAGAGGTAGAAGGAAGAGAAAATAGAGAGCAGCATTGGAAAAAAATAGGTGTTTGAGATCCTTTCTTCCTCTTAATGGAAGAAAGTGTTTTTTTCTGATACAGTGGCTATTTTGGCTATTTCCAAGTTAACTGTAAAACCCAAAATTAGGTGTGGGGATGAATCCTGCCTGTCTTTTTAAGGCTAGTTTGTTTTGTCCTAGGTTTAAATGCCATAGAAAAGGAGGCTTCCAGTCCTTTAAGGCTGGATAAATAGCTGTTTGTTCATATGAGTAGGGGAAAAAAAGGACTCTACTTTCTCTATCTTTTAGACCTGACTTCCTGATTTAAAACCTAGTGAAGTAGAAAGTAAACAGACATATGACTCCTGAAGAAAACTAGGAATAGATTGAGTTTGGAGTTTAATTAATGTATGTGTATATAGTCCTGTGAGGGGTAGGGAGTTGGGAGTTAATGATCTTTATAGATCCCTTCAAATTTGAGATATTATATGATCTAGCACTGCTTATAATATGTATTTTTAAATGAGTTCTTAGAAAAAGCTTTTGACACAGATGATTAATATTGAAAATGCTGACATTTTCTATATGAATATTGACAAATCTATACAAAATATGATGTGTGTTCTGATGATTAGGTACTTTGTTGTAATGTTTTTGCAGAACAGGATGGGAGATTTTAACTGAATTTTCATTATTTTTTTTTCCCTAAGAAAGAAGCATTTGGAAGCTAGTTCCCAATGGAACCCTCTTGTTTCACACAGGGAAAACATGAATACAAAAGCAAAATTCTATATCCTTTCTTGTCATAAAAATGTAACGTATAGATCTACCTTGCCCTGAACCTCTTCAGTTGTAAGAAAATTAGAACTAACAATTAAATAGTGGCAATCTATAAAAGAATATATGCTAAAATAATATATTTACTTGATCTGTTTCTTGATACAAAATACATGCAAGTTGAGGGGAAACTTTCACAAGATCGTGGCTGTGGAATGTGAAGTTATGTGCAATTCATTATAGTCTAAATCACGGTAATGAGCTTCATGGACAGTTTGGATAGTTTACAGGGAATGATACAATCCTGTTAATGAAAGAAGATAGCAAATCTAGAGTTCAGCCATGGTGACTGCCTTCAACTTCATTTGCATTTCATAGGTAAAGATATCAAGTCTCAATACCTGATGGTAAAGCAGAAACATCTCTCAGCATGTTGTCATAAATATTTACATTTCCCATACCATGATATAATTGTCCTAATAGTCCTTGTTCAAGCTGCTGTCAAAGACTGCTGGATATCAGATGATGTTTTGTGCAGGTAATTATACCTGCAGAATCCAGTGGGTGTGTTTGTGTCGTGGTTTGTCTGATAATCAGTTTGCAGGTGTTGTAAAAAGGAAAACCCATAAATGACCCAGTGCCCTCAAGATATACAGTTGCCCTCACTCAATTTCTTGGGAGTCTTGCTCCATCAGTAAGAGAGCTCAGCTGTGATTGTTTTAATACACAGGATGACTAATGGTTAGAGGGGGAAAAAATCAATAATAGGGGTTATGTAAGAAAATAGTTTGTTTTGTCTTTTTTTTTCCCTAAGTGTTTAACAGCCTTGTTCCTAAAATATCCACTCCTTTGTTCCCTCCGGGGAACGTTGCTTTCATCCCAGTTTTCATATAGAAGCTCCCACGTAGATGAGACAAGGCTGAAATAAGCAAAGCTTTCCTGCTAAGAATACCTCAGGAACTTCTTTTTCTTCCTTAAATCAGTGGATTGAGGAAGGAGGAGCTGTCAGTACAGTCTCTTATGCAGTGCTGGTACCTTTAATGTATGTTTAATAGTATTTTTAGGAATGTTTTTCAGAAAAAAAAATTCCACGTGCCTAAAGTTATGGGGTTTTTATATTATAATAGATGTTTCTTATAATAGGTTGCATTTTATTAGGCATTTGGAAACATGTTGTGAGCTGGCATAGTTTTTAACCACAGGGACCTTGAAATGAAATTTTGCTGTGTAAGCTGAATGCGCTGTTGATAGTTTTCCTCTGTCACCTCTGTATTAGTAAGTCAACAGGAAGAAAAATGTACCATCACCTCAGCTGCCTGTGTGTCATTGCCCAAATCCATCTGCACCAGCCCCTGAAGCATCAAACTTGGTTATTGCTACATTTTGTATGGAGGACAAGTCACTCTTATGGGTGTAGAGGATCCTGCAATGACCAAGGAAGGAATTCCCAGTCCTGCATGACTCCTTCAATAATAGGGAAATGGACATGCTGCAACAGTAAACATACCTGTAAGCTGGGAACGTGCTCCCGTCAGGTGTATTTTCATGTGTTATATACTTCTTACATGTTTTGAAATGCCTATTTGAGGACTTTCTAATCAAAGGTGATTAAACATAATTTTTAAAAGGGTAGAGATCCTTACTTAATGACTTAAAGCAGTGAAACAGGGTGGAGCAATATTCAATGAAGGTGCTGATATATATATAAGCAATATATAATGAAGCTGCAATATTTAATGCAGCTGATATGTAAGTATCATTTTGTATTACTTTTGTTCTGTTGGCAAGTCTTGGCACAGATATGAAAAATTGTGATGGTACTTAACTACTGTCCACTTTCTGTGATGATGTGTGTTCTGTTATGTAGTGTCTGTGGGAGGCGTTAGGTGGATGGGATTTGGGGAATCAAGCTGTTTCTCTTTATGGAATAAAGTAGTGCTGCCTGTATAAACGCCAGAAGGCAAATTGCTGAGCCAAAGAGCAGCTTGTGTTAGAGCTTCTTTCCTTACTCTTTTGTCCGCACCCTGTAGTACAAAGCATCTCTAACTGCAGACAGATGTCATCGTGCGCAGCTTCCGTGTACGCCCAGAGTCCAAGGTGTGGGCAAGAGGCAGGACACAGCCAGGAGGAAATACATACTAGAGGTGGGCTCTGGGCTTGGTCCTGCAAAATGCTTCTGTTTTGGTTGCGTGTTTTGTGGCTGTGCTGGAGAGGGAAGAGCGGTGCAGCTGAGCCTTCAGGTGGTGCTGTGTTCTTCTCCATCTGCTGTGATCCTGGCTCATGAGCCTGAGATGTGCAAGGACAGAGCTATCCTGCCAGCTGAGCATGATCCAGGACTTCTCTGTAAAGAGCATCCCAGGCCACTGTGGCAGTCAGCATAGTTCATGTCATAAGTTCTGACCCTTCTTGGGTTTTGTTACCTGTGTCGTTGAGGTGATCACATACTTCTGTATAACTCAGTTTTCAGTGAGGCACCTGCAGACTAGTCAGCTAATGCCTGTGCCATCTTGTGGTGGCTGATCAGGTTACATCAAGATTTCCTTAAAAACAAACAAAAAGACAACCAGAACAAAACAACCCGAAGTGAGGAAAAATAATGTACTTTTAAAATTACAGAGTGATTCTAGCTGGCAGTTTTTCTTTGGTAGCATTTTGAAATGGTGAGCACACCCTGAATTGAGGTGGAAACAGATGAAGATTAAGGTGTGTGTCAGGTGAAATATCCAGCATGTTGCATAGTGACATTTGCAGCTGTGAAGGATGAAACATTCAGATTGCAAAACTTGTGAACAAGCATTGTGTCGTAAATGGCTTCAGAAAATCCAGAATGCCAGCATATGAGGGAAATCAGTTAACTAAAACTACTTGGGCTGTTTGGACTTTGTTCATTTTGCAAAGTGTATGTTAAAGGTTGGTGCTGTGAAACTCATGGTGTGGTGCAGAATTTTCAGAATTTTGTTGCCCCATGTTGTCCACACAAGATAGAAATTCTTACTTTTGCGTTTTCACATGTGGAAAAGAATGTTCCAACACCTGCCTGTAATTGTGGGTGGATGCATTCCTAATGCAAAAGGTATGTACTGCATAGGAAGGTGATTAAGGGGGTGGGGGGGCGGTGGCACACACGACACCCAGCACATGCAAATACAGAAGAGGACTCATCCTCATTGTTTTAGGTTAGGCTGAAATTTCTAAACATGAATAAGCAGAACAGCTGAGCAAAAAGCAGGTTCATGCCTGGCGCCTTCCAGGCTTCTTTTCGCTCTGTGCTCATCTGCTTGTGCAACCGCAGCTCCATTCTCCCGCTGCCTGGAGAGGAGGAAGGAGCAGCCGCTGCTGCCGAGGTGCTTCCAGCTCTCCACAAGCGTGCGAGAGACAGCGTTCCCAAGGCCGGCTCGCTGCAGCTGAGGAGACAGCACTCATAGACCCTCCTTTGATTAGGATGTGTCCGTGTTGTCAGGGCAACTGTTAACAGCGGCGTATCATATTTTCTCCTCTTGTACTGTGTGCTGAATATTTTAGTGTGCTGTAGCTGGAAGAAGGTTGAAGGGAAGAAGGTGCTGCTGCAAGGAACCTGGAGCTGTGGGCTGGGATCTGACTGGACAGGTTAAGACAGCAAGGAGCAGCATCCAAACCAATGTGCCTTTGATTAGGGCTTTTCTTCAAGGAGGGAAACGACTGCCGACTGGATGTTGGTGTTTGTCAGCTGTTTGCATACTGCTGATCCATAGGGGATCTGTTACAAGTGCTCAAATGAACAGACAGCGTTGCAGCTAGCGGCTAATCAGGGGCTGGAGTTTCTTACTTTTTTTTTAATAAGCAAGAGGCAACAGCAGCATGCCTGGTTCAACTACTGCCCTCCGACAAGAGAGACTGAAGAAAAGTGCCAGGCCAAATCCCCCAGGTTTATTCACCATTAATGAAGAGGATGAGCAGCAAAAAAATGGGAATTCCACAAGACTGAAAGGTACGTTGCTGTTCTGCAGTGCAATCAGGGCTGCCTGTGGGATACGCTGCACAGCAGGCACAGCAGTGTTTTATTAGCTCTTCTGTGTACTACACAGAGTCTGTAAGTGACTGATGCAGTTTGGCACTTAGAAATGTGCATGATAGGTGTGTTTAAATCCTCTGGCTTGTTATGCAATCGGCTGCTTTGGCTAATGAAGAAAAAAATACTTTTTAGTTATTAATCACATTTCTTCTGGTAGGGATAATGGTTCTGCATCAGAAATATGTAAGTGAGCTTCTTTGTGTTTACTTTGACTTCTGTTTACAGTCTGGGTAAATAACTGTTAAAAACAAGGTTAGGCTTGGAGAGTACAGAATGCAATGCCTGCCTGTTATAGAAGACAGCTTTGCCAAAGACAATGTGAAACTGTCTCTACTTCCACTCATGTGCAGGAGGGGCAGTGTGCCTTTGGCAGTGTAAAATAAAAATACACATTGTTCCAATATGCTGACTTTTTGTCTGACAACAAAACAAAACAGACAGAAAACACAAACCAAACAAATTGTTAAAGAAAAATATTTATGGTGCTTAAGGTAGGTAAGCAGTCGTGGCAGAGGGCTGCTGATGGCCATTGAATTACAGCAGGTCTGTCAAGCCTGTGTAGCCACTGTCTGGCTTGTATCATTTAATTCCTATTTCCAACATGGATCCTAGTATTTAAATTCTCTTAGTCTTGCAGGGATTCTGCTACTTACAATTATGACTGTAATTTATTTTTTTTTCTGTCTTCAAGTCATTCTATGTGTATGAGCACTCCTTTTGTGGGGGGTGTAGGGAAGAGGTGGATTGTACCAGTTTTGTTTACAAAACAAATGTTAGTTTGTAGCCTCAAGACGCTGTTTTAAATTTCAGTTATTGCCATTCTACCGTGTAACAGGAGAGCCTAGAAAGCATTTAAATAGCAAATTTATAGTATGTGTATTTATTAGATCTGAATAATTTACAGCTAACTGATTTTCTTTTTCTGAAGGAAAAAGATAGCTAGCTTGGTAGCTTTTGCAAACAAATTCAGAACTCAAGTTTTGTTTGTTGGGGTTTTTTGAGTTTGCAGCTAGTGCTTTTTTTTTTTTCCCCTCAGAATAGTAGAAAACTTAACTGGTTAGAACTTCATGATAAAATATATAGTGCTAGTCCTTGTTAATGTGCCTGTGTTAGGATCTTGTGTACGCAGTTACCTGCTCTTCTGTATATTTGAAACTGCCCATATAAAATGGAGATCCAAACTCTAGCATGAGGTTATTGAGTTCTTAATGTTTTAAGAAGCTTATTACTTTCCTTTATCACCCGCTGGATGGCTTCCAGAGTCAACAGTCCATAAAGCTAAAAATCAATAATTTGCCTGGTTTTGTTCAATGGCACTGCTAGTTTCCCAACAGTTTGTTGACTTAGCTACCCTTTTCTTCTTGCAGGAGTTACACTGATGTGCTTATCCTTTGTCTCTCTTGTTTTAACTGAGATTTGGTTTTTGGTTATTCCTTTATTTTCTCTTGTTGCTGTGAAATGTAAGCAGATGCACGTGAACAGTAGCACAGATAGCAAGCAACCAAGTTCACGTGATTTTAAGAAGGTAAAAAATTTGTCAGCTTACCTTGACTATTCCTGGTGAGAAATAATATAGGAAATAGTACAAAATATTCTGGAACTATATTAATTTGCTTTTTATTTTACTAAATATTTAAAATAGCTCATAGTGTCTCTAGAACAGTACACCATTTGCACAGTGATACCTGTGGGTAAATACCTCTATCTGTACATTTGAACGTTATCAGTCATTAGGTGGGTTAGGCTGGAATGCCTGGTAATGAAGAATGCATGTACTCAGGGTGCTGCTCCTCTCGCCTGGTACCAGGAAAGGTCACTCCAGTGCAGCTTTGACTGGGTGATGGACCCACATGGGGCTTTTGTGAATCTTTAGTGTCTGTTGTTCTCTTGCTTCATTACAGGCTTTGCCTTTCTTAGTCCTTTACATGTTTTTGCTCAGCAAGCACCTGCAGCTATTGAGATGTTTAATTTTATTTTTTCTCTCTAGCACATTCTAAGTCAGGATCATCTTTGTGGGGAGATGTGCTCAATGTTGTCTTCATCTGCATTTTCTGTTATCATGCTGGACCTGTCTTGTTTTAAAACCCAAGAGGCCTTTAATGGATCTGATACTCCAAAGTAAAGAAGTTCCTTCCTCCATTAAGAGTATTTGAATATCATCACAAGATTTAAAATAATCAATGTTCTCATAGTTCAGGTCTTCTCAGACTACTAAGGCTTGATTAGAGTTTTTATGAGAGTTGTTTTTATCATCTGGGAAATATTTATGTGGATCTTAAAGTGGCTGGCCTTTGTGATGGTTTCTGTAAATTGATTTTTGTACTGACCATTCCTTTGCTTGTCTGGCTGTCTGCATTGTAATTAGAGGAGTCTGGGAGGCAAAATGAATTTGTTTCTCCAGTGAAAACAAATAATGACAATGTTGGAGATACTGAAAGCATGCAGTGACCTTTATAACCATGTGCTCCTGATGTTTCCTTTGCTTTGATGTGAGCTGTCTTTACTGCTTTTTCAACAAATATTTTAACTTCCTTCCTTCTCTTGGCTTTGGGACAAGGTCTGCATATTTGTTATATATCTATATGGCACCCACTATTTCAGGGTCTTGAGATCCTGTGGTGTAGTAGAAGAATGCAAATAAAAATTACTATGAATATCCTTTTTTACCTTTATTAACAGTGTTTATTCTCCTTTCTGTTATAACATACAGGAATTTTGCTACATAGTGCACTCTTCAAACACAATTTCTATGGGTTATTCTGCACTTGAACTGGTTTTTGGTTTAGTTACCAGCTTTCCTGAAGTTCTGCAGCTATAGTCACAAAGAAACCAGGCAAAACAGGAAGAGAACTGCACACTTAACCGCCTCAACGTTTCCTTAAAGCTTGTGTAGTAAAACAGATATTGTTTCTGTGACTACAGAGAATCTGTGTATATGGTTCTGTACATAAATCACAAATATATGACTTTGAGTAGATTAGTGTTTAATTACAGGTATCCATCCTGTGTGTGTGAACTTCAGCTACAGCCATTCCTTGAATTCAGGCACAAACAATTCAATCTGCCTTAGAGGATTTCCCTCCTCTGCTCTCTGAATTTTGTGCTCCTTGGATGTAGTCTTAAAACCTTACTCAATTTTATGTAATTTTAAAGTGATGCTTCCTCTCCTTCCTATTAGGAGGATGACCTTCTCAACTGTTGATAATGTGTTTCTAAAACTATCACTTGAGGAGGCTGGAAAAGCAGTGCTCATGTTTCTGGGTTATGGATTTGAATACTTAATAACTGAAATAATTATAACATTTGTGACAAATTAATGAAAAGTCTCAATTTAACAATTGAATCCTTCACCATCCTGCTTATTTAAAATTGATCGAGGGAGGGTACCTGTAATCTGCTGAGTGAGTATTGGTAATACATACAGGCTGCTCATACCTGCCTTAGCTTTCTGAACAGTAGCACTGATTCTTTGTCAACTTGAAAACAAGAGAAGGGCTTTTTTCAGTCCTTTGGTGAATGACAGTGATGTCAGTGATCACCAGCAGATTTTGACACTGTTGTGTGCCTGGTAATGTTTGTGCATACTGCTCCTTTCAGATGAAAGATTTGTGCTTCCAGAGACATGGAGGAGATTTCTTATATCGTGACTGTTTGGGTGATTAGTCGCCATGTTCTGCACGTGTTAATGAGATGTATATTTCTTTTTAGACTCAGATTGTCTAACTTTTAGTTCAGTTGTTGTCTGTTACTGTATGTCTATACCAAAAACAAACTTAAGATACCTGAAAGAAAAGGGAACTTGGCATCTTCAAGGGCATTAAACTGATAGTCCTGGAAACTGAAACTGTATACTTACAAAACAGGTATTGCATGGGGTGTGGAAGTGTAATTTTATCCCACGCTGCAGAGTCTGTGCCTCAGGCAGGATCCAGAATGACAGCAGAGTCTCTGGCTTTCACCACACTTTAAACCAGCAAAACTGCCTGGGATCCTGGCTCTCCCTGGGGCCTCTTGATGCTGGTCAGGAGGCTGACCTCCGGTTTGTTTGGGGCAAAACAGTGAGCAATTGTTAAAGGCTGATGAACTGGCTTACCAAAATCTGGAAAACTGGAGGTTTTTTCTGACAATATGTTTTCCCTATCTTTCCCATCTTCATTTGAGGCAAAGTGAGTGGAAGGAGTGGATGGAAGGAAGGAAGCGAACCAATTCTCATTTTGATGCTGGTTGTGTAAAGGGGCAGGGCTGAGAACCTGGACAGTGTGGTCTGGTGTCTTGCACCTTCCAGTGAGTTCTGCTGATGTTTCTGTGCACTTCCTTTCTTTCTGCTAGCCAAGGCCAGGAGAAGAGGAGTCTGAAAGTATCTGTGATTCTTCTAGACACAGAGGAATCACAGATACTTCTTTTGTTTACAGAATCACAGAAAAAGGTGATCTGGAAGGGAGCCACAAGGATCATTTGGTCCAGCTCCTGGCTCATCACATCACCATCCCTGAGAATCACACCATGTGCCCAAGAATATTGTCCAAACATTTCCCAAACTTCGTCAGGCTTGGTTCTGTGACCACTTCCCAGGGGAGCCTGTTCCGGTGCCCAACCACCATCTGGGTGAAGAACCTTTTTCTGATTCTAACCTAAACCTCCCCCGACACAACTTCAGGCCCTGTAACTGGTCACCACAGAAATCACAGTCTGCCCCTCCTCTTCCCCTCACAAGTCAGTTGTAGATTGCAGTGAAGTCTTTAAAAATGCCTCTCAAAGTGTCTGGGAGGTGCATTCTTTAAAAAGCCCTACATTTATTGTTTACAGTGCAGGTGTTGGGGGTACAGAAGAACTTGTGTGTGTCTTGCACCTTCCAGTGAGTTCTGCTGATGTTTCTGTGCACTTCCTTTCTTTCTGCTAGCCAAGGCCAGGAGAAG